CTAATTGCCAATGTCGGCCGTGCGGATATGCCTACGGAGGGCGATGTATGCCGGCACCAGATCTATAAATCGATTGGTTGAATTCTCATCCGAGGCCAAGACCTCAATCAATTCTCGGCCTGTCTTGCTGCCGGCATGGTTAAGTACCTTCGCAGCTGCGAGGTTAAACTCGTGACCCGTCTCGTAGATGTGGGCCGCCAAGAACGACAATGCGTCACTCCGTCTGACAACTAGCTTATGTTCGTGCATGCGCAAGCGGAGCATGCATTCAATTTGCCCTGCATAATTACAAGGACAGCTTAAGTACGGGATGCGATACACTACCCCGGATGAGAATTCAGGCAACTGATCTATCTGTGTGTCGCCGGCACATCCGCACGGCCGACACAGGTTCTTAGTGAGTTCGCTCCTCCACGTATAACGGTTGATTGGCTCCTGTCCCCCAAAAGTGTTGCTTGTTTTCGTGGACACCTTTATCTCTGAAGATGGACTCCCGCAAGAGCCCAGAGGATCAGGATAATAAACAACGTGATCCAGTGCTCGACAACCCTTCTGCCTCATTCATGCAATTACCTGGATCCTGAACTTTTTCCTTCATTCATTTCTTCTTCCATAAGAAATATCATAGGAAGTTTCTTGGATATCTGGAAAATATGATTTCGCCCAAATCCTGTTACCGCTTTTGTAAAAAATAATTTCTGCATCTCACCTCCAGGCAAGAAATTAATCTTAGAAGACCAAATGTATGTTAAATTATACGCTGATATTTCGCTCACAGTATTGCAAAAGATTAGGTTACTTACTGTATCTCTTGATATTTGTTGGAATTTACGATGCATTGCTAATCACTCGCACAACGGCACAGATGAGTCGACCGAAACTCTGAATTAATAATATACAAGTAAGTAAAGTACGTTTATTAGGATTGCCATCATGTTAAAGAAACTGGAATTCGCTGTAATTGAGTACACTTACATTTTAGATGTAGCGAACAAATCAGAATAATAGCAGTCACTCAGCAAGCGCAACGACTTGCCGTTCCCATATTCCGTACTGAGAAATTGTCTGAACAGCAGAATCAGTCACGTGAGAAGTGCCGGATCCAACAACAACTCCGACGATAGCTTACATAATTTTCGCGTATTTATCAAGCCCGCATCCAACACTGATGACGAAATCGTGATAATTAATGACTCGGAAGCGAACTTCCAACCATCACCGCATTGATTACAACCCACAGTGGTGATTACAGGAGCTGATATTTATAGTGCGCATGCAGTCGCGTGGCCATTACGAACTATAAATATTGCGTGACCTGTGTATATATCATCCTAATCTTTGCATGTATCAGCCTATTCTACGGTTACTTATGATAAGGGGCTATTGACAGAAACCGAAACTTTAGACAAAGAAACTTCTTGTTCTAGTGATTGCATCTTCCACCGTGAACTGCTTCTTGGAACTCGCATATTCGCTTCTATCGTCGTATCTGTGTTTTCGTGTGCTCCACGTGCTACTGGTGTCAGGGCACAACTCAATGGCGTACGCACACAGCCCCCGGTGAGTCGTTCCCACGACAAACGACTGGTTTGCTCACACACACAATGCACGTGATGACGCCGCGCAACTGCAGCCGGACGCCGGACTCTAACGCGACAGCTGAATGAGACACGAAGCCAATGAAGTCGCCCCTTACTTGAGCCCACAATCTGATTGGTCTGATTGGACATGACTTGTACACGCATTCGCTTGCCTTAAATTATGTTTTA